AAAAAAAAAAAAAAAAAAGAAAAGAAAAAAGAAAGAAAGGCCAATAACTCAGGCTTTCATAACCTGAAGGCCAGACATGTTTTCTTTAGGTGCCTCCCACTGAATTGGCCATGGCACCTATGCTCTGTTGCCTGTAGCCTTACGTAGATCATCCTAGGGCATCAGAAGTCTTCTAGGCTTTTGCTATTTTATTTCTTGGCTCTACTAGGATAATGGAAACAGGGATAACCATCAGGTGCTGCTTAGAGTTACATGGTAGAAGGGTGGTAACTCACTCAACTCCTGTGTTTTTAACTGTACTAGAATCAAACAGTACTTGTCCTTTTTTATTGGCATATTTCACTTAGTGTTTTCAAAGTTGATCTGTGTTACATATCAGAATTTCATTTCCTTTGAGTAGTTTTCATATGTATATATTATATTTTGTTTTTATTCTAACATTGATAAACACTTGGGTTCTTCTACCTTTGGAGCATTGGAATGATGGTGCAATGAACAGATATCTGCTTTTGGTACTTTGGGCTATATAATTAGAAGTGGAATTGTTAGGACATAGGGTAACTCTATATTTAGGTTTTTGAGGAATTGTATACTATTTTTATTAGCATTTGTACTAGTAGCATTCTTACCAGCAGTGAACATAAGTTTATTTTTTCCATATTCTCATTCTTTTCTGTTTTTATTATACTCATCTTTGCAGGAGTAAAATTGTATCTCTTTGGTTTGCATTTCTTTCATGAGGTGTTAAATGTTTTTTTCATGTGTTTATTGTATCTTCTTTGGAGAAATGTCTATTCAGATCCTTGGATTTTTAAAAGAGGGGGTTTTGTTTGTTTTGGTACCCAGAATTGAACTCAGGACCTTATGCTTGCCAGGCAGGCACTGTGCCTCTGAGTTAAATCCTTGGTCCTAAATTGAGTTTTTTATGCAGAGTTGTAGGACTTCTTTGTATATTCTGAAGATGATTCTCTTACCAGATATGTGATTTCAATATTTTTTTTCATCCTGTGTATTGTCCTTTCATTTTATTGACAGTGAGCTATGATAGAGTTGTAGAGATAGCTCAGTGATGTAAGTGTCTGCCTGGCAAGCACAGTGACCCAGGTGCAATACCCAGTTTTGCATGCTGTGCTAGCCCTAGCACCCTTGGTGCACCGTGCCAGCCACCAAAACCAAGGGGGATGGCACATGCCTGTAATCCCAGTGCTGGGGAGGCTGAGACAGGAGGATCACTACAAGTCCTAGCTGTGTAGCGAGATCCTGTACCAAATAAATAAATGAATGAATGAATGAATGCACTATGATGCATAAGATTTATTTATTTTTGTGGAACCGGGGATTGAACTCAGGTCCTTGGGCTTGACAAGCAAGCGCTTATTCTACTGAGCTATTTCCCTGGCCTCTTGCATAAGTTTTAAATTGAAAATTATAATTATTTTTCTTTTGTTGCTTTGTTTTTGGTGTTATACCTAGCAACCTTTTGCCAAATCCAAGGTCATGAAGACTTTTGTGATGTTAGTTCTTATATTTGTATCGCTGATCAATTTTGAGGTAATTTTTATATGTAGTACAAGGTAGGAGTCCAGCTACATTCTTTCTTATATGGAAATCCAGTAGTTCCATTCCATCTGCTAGAGAAACTTCTTTTTCCACTGATAAGACTTGGCACCATT